TATACTGCCCTAACCTGTCACTATGCTACCCTAACCTGCCACTATGCTACCCTAACCTGCCACTATACTACCACTATACTACCCTAACCTGCCACTATGCTACCCTAACCTGCCACTATACTACCCTAACCTGTCACTATGCTACCCTAACCTGCCACTATACTTCTATAACCTGTCACTATACTACCCTAACCTGCCACTATACTATCCTAACCTGCCACTAAACTGCCACTATACTACCCTAACCTGCCACTATACTATCCTAACTTGTCACTATACTTCTATAACCTGCCACTATACTACCCTAACCTGTCACTATACTTCTATAACCTATTACTATACTACCCTAACCTGCCACTATACTATCCTAACCTGCCACTATACTGCCACTATACTACCCTAACCTGCCACTATACTTCTATAACCTGCCATTATACTGCCCTACCCCTGCCACTATACTACCCTAACCTGTCACTATATACTACCACTATACTTTTATAACCTGCCACTATACTGCCCTAACCTACCACTATGCTACCCTAACCTGTCGCTATGCTACCCTAACCTGTTGCTATACTACCCTAACCTGTCGTTATACTTCTATAACCTGCCACTATACTACCCTAACCTGTCACTATACTACCCTAACCTGCCACTATACTACCCTAACCTGCCACTATACTGCCCTAACCTGTCACTATACTGCCCTAACCTGCCACTATACTGCCCTAACCTGCCACTATACTACCCTAACCTGCCACTATACTACCCTAACCTGCCACTATACTGCCAATATACTACCCTAACCTGCCACTATGCTACCCTAACCTGCCACTATACTACCACTATACTTCTATAACCTGCCACTATATTGCCCTAACCTGTCACTAAACTTCTATAACCTGCCACTATACTACCCTAACCTGCCACTATACTACCCTAACCTGCCACTATACTACCCTAACCTGCCACTATACTACCCTAACCTGCCAATATACTGCCAATATACTACCCTAACCTGCCTACTATACCCACTATACTTCTATAACCTGTCACTATACTACCACTATACTTCTATAACCTGTCACTATACTACCACTATATTTCTATAACCTGCCACTATACTGCCCTACAAGCTGCTGACCCTTTCCTCTGCCATGCTGACCTCCCATTCTCTGCTCCCCTGATTTTTTTTGTAATGCTCCCCCACATCAGACAGGCTAGATCTGACCCTACAAAGAGTATGGAGATATGGAGGGGCTTTTGAAGAACACAAGGATATTATGGAGCCACCTAATACCAGGAACCCACCAGAGAGATGTCCCCATCCTCTGTATTCCCGGGATTCCACACTGGAAGGTCACACCATCCCTCACTGTTACAAGGTTGGTGGGATGGAGCATCTAGAACTTGGACTCATAGAGACAATATGCTGATTTTTTATGTGATGTCTCAATATTTAAATCTTTGTTTTACAGATGTTATTTTGTTCCTTCTCTTGCTTTAGGATAAAGATCTGATAGATATAGAAGTTGATGTTACAGAAGAAGAAGAGGCGTATGTGAGGGATGATCAGCAGTCTATGGAGGAGGATGGAATAACGGGGACATTTATAGAGGAGGACACTCCTACAGAGATCAGCACAGGTGGGTCATGAACACTAAATCCATTCCTCCACCCATACTGCTCACTGATTGGTCCAGAGTAGGGCGGGGACTGGGTGATATCAGCCTGTAATCCCCTGGTCACTTTCCTGAGCTGTGTTCCCCGTCCTGTATTCCTGGATTTCTCTCAGATAATCTTCCTTCTCTGTGCTGCAGACACAATTTATGTATCTAGACTGGATTTATGGAGATTCTGAGATTCAGCTGGCAGCAAAATGTTGATTTTTTTACCATAGGTATTGCTTGACCTAGGCACATGGGCCTTGGCTCTTCTTCTCCTTGGGTCTTCTTCTCCTTGGGTCTTCTTCTCCTTGGGTCTTCTTCTTCTCCTTGGGTCTTCTTCTCCATGCCCAGGTCTAGCAAGATCTCTGACAGAACCATTCTCCCAGGGTTACTTGTTCTGTAGTCAGTTGGCTGCCCCGGGTGGAGGGATATGTCTGTATAGTCTCAGACCCAAGTCACTGAGTGCAGTCTCAGGAGATGGGAGGCAGTGAGGTGGGACCTTTGCAACTTGTCCCAGTTAAACCCTGGTTCACACTGACAGATGTGTTTTAGACCTCAGTGATTCGCATGACATGGAAAATAAAATGAATTCCTATGGAGGTCGTTGACATCTGTGCAGTACACACATGCAGTGCGATTTGAAAAAAGGGTCGTGTGCATCTTTGGAGTGTTGCGATCCATTTATGAAGTCTCTAGAGGAGAACGTAAATTGCCCATGAAATCTGCTCACATCACAGGCAATTCCAGTACATTTTCGCCAAGTCTCCCGTGTGTCAGAGAGCTGGTTTCCAGCGAGAGGGAGAGAGGCATTTATCTAAAAGTATTAAAATTGCAAGAAAAAAGCATTGCTATCCAAGGTGCTTCGTATCACAGGTGCTCCTTGGATCGCACTTGCAAAATGACTTGTCTGCTAGCAACAGGATTCTGCACTGACAGCAGAATGTAAACTAGTGCCGGCATGAAAAAATTACAAATTCATACCAGGCCCTTTGGGTTTGGTATAGATTTTGAGGGGAACCCCACACCAAACTTTTTTCTAAAATGGCCCCGAAAATCCATACCAGACCGTTATCAGAGTGTGCAGACCAGGAAAGAGAACATGTGAGCGAGCACCACCTTGAACCATTCAAAGTGGAGCAGATATCGGGGGACTGGAGGAGGGTCTCATTCAATTTCCACGAGGGAGGGGGGCCACGCAGTCAGGTCCAGCTGGAGAGTGAAATGGACAGGGGCATGGTCAGAGAATGAGACAACATTGAATTGTGCGGAGACCACGTTGGGGAGCGCCTGGAGGGAAAGTAAAAGATAGTTGAGGCGGGAGTAGATGTGGTGGACCGGGGAAAAGAACAAAACATCTCACCCTTGGGAGTTTAACAGTCACCGGGGGTCCACTAACCGTAGGAGCTGTAGGTCTCCTTTCAAACGCTTGAGGCGGAAGAAAGATAGATGTGAGGATCCCCACGATACGTCTAGTAGAGGGTCCATTGCAAAATTGAGGTCCCCTCCAGTAGAGGGTCCATTGCGAAACTGAGGTCCCCTCCAGTAGAGGGTCCATTGCGAAACTGAGGTCCCCTCCAGTAGAGGGTCCATTGCGAAACTGAGGTCCCCTCCAGTAGAGGGTCCATTGCGAAACTGAGGTCCCCTCCAGTAGAGGGTCCATTGCGAAACTGAGGTCCCCTCCAGTAGAGGGTCCATTGCGAAACTCCCCTCCAGTAGACGGTCCATTGCGAAACTGAGGTCCCCTCCAGTAGAGGGTCCATTGCGAAACTGAGGTGCCCTCCAGTAGAGGGTCCATTGCGAAACTGAGGTGCCCTCCAGTAGAGGGTCCATTGCGAAACTGAGGTCCCCTCCAGTAGAGGGTCCATTGCGAAACTGAGGTGCCCTCCAGTAGAGGGTCCATTGCGAAACTGAGGTCCCCTCCAGTAGAGGGTCCATTGCGAAACTGAGGTCCCCTCCAGTAGAGGGTCCATTGCGAAATTGAGGTCCCCTCCAGTAGAGGGTCGATTGCGAAATTGAGGTCCCCTCCAGTAGAGGGTCGATTGCGAAATTGAGGTCCCCTCCAGTAGAGGGTCTAATGCGAAATTGAGGTCCCCTCCAGTAGAGGGTCCATTGCGAAATTTAGGTTCCCTCCAGTAGAGAGTCCATTGAGAAACTGAGGTCCCCTCCAATAGCGGCTCCCTTGCGAAATTGAGGTCCCCTCCAGTAGAGGGTCCATTGCGAAATTGAGGTCCCCTCCAGTAGAGAGTCCATTGCGAAATTGAGGTCCCCTCCAATAGCGGCTCCATTGCGAAATTTAGGTCCCCTCCAGTAGAGGGTCCATTGCGAAATTTAGGTCCCCTCCAGTAGAGGGTCCATTGCGAAATTTAGATCCCCTCCAAAGACCAGGGAGATATATAGATTTTGGCATTCACTGTATCAGTTTGTAGTGTCCTATTATACATGTAATGAGGGGTGGTGCTCTCTTGGGGAGCTGTGCAGCTAATGATGGGTCATTTTAAACAGTGTTCCTGTCTAGGAGAATTCTGCTACCCCAAAACTTTATTGAGATTTTTGTAATAAAAACTTATGATTTTATATTAATGTGCCTGTTAAATTTTTTCTGAGAGAAGCCATCAGCACCGAAAAAATCCCCTCTTCCCTTTTTTTCTTTTTGATTGGTTTTTCATATATCTAATGGGGGTGTGGTGACCGAGCCTCTTAACTTTTCTATGCTCTTCAATTATATATGTATTCTATTTTTGTTACACCCATTTCCTACCAGCTGGACATTTTATATCGGATGATGTGATTGGAGCACAGACTTTTACATGGTGATAATAATGTGATAACATCCTCCAACTTTGGACCCTTAAACAGAAAGTGATAATGAGGGAGGAGTCAATACCCCAATGATGGTGGTCTTCAGGATCAGTCCAGTCTTCATCTTGGTTGTTCTCCCCCCCATCCTCACTCTCTGACCTCCGGTGGGGCTCAGCCCCGCTGTTCTTCATGACTAAATCATGGAGTAAATAAGGAAGTGCAGTACTTCTTGTGTTGGGAAGATGGTGATGAGTGATAGAGGGGGTGGGGACCCTCGTCCTATAATCCCCTCATCACTGTCCCTCCTATAAAAGACAGTTCTGGTTGTTTCCTCACTCTCTGACTAAGGTCCATGAATAAAGAAATAACCTGGTAGGAGATCAGAGGAGCCATTTCCTAGTTCCCTTGAGGGTGGAATTGTAAGCTCCTCAGAGACCAAGCTGCCTGATGTGGGCGGAGTCTTGGTTTGGGGAAACCAATCAGCTCCTGTCTAGTAATCCTCTTTGTCTTTGTGTTTTAGTCCATGGCCGGGAGATGAGGAAACCCTCCGAGGATTGTCTCACTTTGTCTCCAGACTGGAAAGTAGAAGATGAGGACATCACACAGTATAGTCCAGGAGAAAGCCTGGCTCCCTCCAATGTCCATCCGGCACCACCCAGTGTAGATGGACCATCGGAATCCTCGTATCCTGAGGAACCTCAGATTTTCCGGGACCGGGCCAGCCTTCCAACAGAGAAGAGGATTTCCTGCACTGAGTGTGGGAAATGTTTCCAATTTAAATCCAACCTTAATGAGCATATAAGATCTCACACGGGGGAGAAACCATTTTCCTGCCTGGAGTGCGGGAAATGTTATTCAAAGAAGTGCAATCTTTCCATACATCAGAGATCTCACACTGGGGAAAAACCATATTCCTGTCCTGAGTGCGGGAAATGTTTTTCATATAAGTCACATCTTTCCACACATCAGAGATTTCACACGGGGGAGAAGCTGCATTCCTGTTCGGAGTGCGGGAAAAGCTTCATACAAAAATCAGAACTTGTCCTACATCAGAAATCTCACACGGGGGAGAAGCCATTTTCCTGTCCTGAGTGCGAAAAACGTTTCAAAGAAAAATCAGAACTTGTCACACATCAGAGATCTCACACGGGGGAGAAGCCATTTTCCTGTCCTGAGTGCGGGAAATGTTTTGTACATAAGTCGAACCTTGTCATACATCAAAGATTGCACACGGGGGAGAAGCCGTATGCCTGTCCTGAGTGCGGGAAATGTTTTAAACAGAAATCAAACCTTGTCATACATCAGCGATCTCACACAGGGGAGAAGCCGTATTCCTGCCCTGAGTGCGGGAAATGTTTTGTAAGCAAATCAGAACTTATCACACATCAGAGGTCCCACACGGGGGAGAAGCCGTATTTCTGTCCGGAGTGCGGGAAATGTTTTTCTCAGAAGTCCAATCTTTCCAGACATCAGAGATTACACACGGGGGAGAAACCTGTTTCCTGTTCTGAGTGAGAGAATTGTTCCTCACCGAAGGCATGGATGAAGTGTCAGACCGTGTTGGCGGGTGATGGCTGTAGAAGAATAAAAAAAATGTCATTACCTTTCATTTATTTAATACATTTTATGATGAAAGCTTTCATACTTAGAGGTCTGTTTTTTTAACCAGTTCCCAACCGTGCTATAGCAGAAGGACAGCTACAGCGCAGTTGTCTAGTTCTGGGACGACGTCCATGGATGTCATTCCAGAACACGCTCCCCTGCACGACCCCAGCGGCACGTACCCGGCGCCGCCGGTGATCGCTGTGTCCTACAGACACAGCTGATCATGTGATATGGTAAATGACCAATCTCAATGGTCTTTTACCACATGATCAGTCGTGTCCAATGACACAGCAGATCACCGGGTAAATACAGTTGCACTGCACGCTGTCACAATGTGAGGAAAGTACTGCCGATAACCGGCAATTGTCATCGAAGGGATTGGCACTGATCATAAGGGCACTGATGATCAATGCCCAGCAGTGCTGTCCACCTGTACCCATCACTGCCTTCCACCTGTACCCATCAGTGTCACCCACCTGTGCCCAGCTGTGCAGACTATCAATGCAGCATCATCAGTGCCGACTATCAGTGCCCATCAGTGCTGCCTATCCATACTACCTCATCAGTGCTGCCTATCCATGCCACCTCATCAGTGCCCATAAGTGCTGCCTATCCATGCTACCTCATCAGTGCTGCCTATCCATGCTACCTCATCAGTGCTGCCTATCCATGCCACCTCATCAGTGCTGCCTATCCATGCCACCTCATCAGTGCTGCCTATCCATGCCACCTCATCAGTGCTGCCTATCAGTGCCCATCAGTGCTGCCTATCCATGCTACCTCATCAGTGCTGCCTATCCATGCCACCTCATCAGTGCCCATCAGTGCTACCTATCCATGCCACCTCATCAGTGCCCATCAGTGCTGCCTATCTATGCCACCTCATCAGTGCTGCCTATCCATGCCACCTCATCAGTGCTGCCTATCCATGCCACCTCATCAGTGCTACCTATCAGTGCTGCCTATCCATGCTACCTCATCAGTGCTGCCTATCCATGCCACCTCATCAGTGCTGCCTATCCATGCCACCTCAACAGTGCCCATCAGTGCTGCCTATCCATGCCACCTCATCAGTGCCCATCAGTGCTGCCTATCCATGCCACCTCATCAGTGCCCATCAGTGCTGCCTATCCATGCTACCTCATCAGTGCTGCCTATCCATGCCACCTCATCAGTGCCCATCAGTGCTGCCTATCCATGCCACCTCAACAGTGCCCATCAGTGCTGCCTATCCATGCCACCTCATCAGTGCTGCCTATTTGTGCCGCCTCATCAACACATCAGTGAAGGAGACAAATTACTTGTTTGCAAAATTTTATAATAGAAAGAAAAACTTTGTTTTTCAAATTGTTTGCTCTTTTTTTGTTTGTAGCACAAAAAATAAACCCCACAGTGACAAAACAAATACCACCAAAAGAAAGCTCTATTTGTGTGAAAAAATGATAAAAACCTCATATGGGTACAGTGTTGCACGGCTGCGCAATTGTCAAAGTGCGACAGCACTGAAAGCTGAAAATTAACCTGGGCAGGACCCTTCTACCGGGGTAGAAGTGTCCTGGTAGGCGAAGGGGTTAATACCCGGGATTATTTCCTCCTTTCCCCCATTTTCTATTTTGGGATCTTTTCTACAATACTTTGTTATAATAATAGAACACGTTGTGTATTGTATTGTACACCAATAATAATGACTCCGCCCCCACATTCCAGACCAATCGGATTTCTAACTTTACTACTTCGTGATATTTTGACTGTATTCTTGCTAAAAGTAAAATTATGATTAAAAAAATGTATGGGGGGGGGGGGGGGGGGGGGGGGTGGTGTGCTGATGCAAGGAGGACAAACTTTGGGATCCGAAAATTAGTCATAGGTGATGCTTTAAAAGCCTTTACAGGTCATTGGTTTAGAGTTATCTGTATAGAATGGACAGCCCAGAGTGCAGAGGTCAGGTGTGTGTCGTATACAACCCAAGGTACAGAGTGCAGAGGTCAGGGTGTGTGACGTATACAACCCAAGGTACAGAGTGCAGAGGTCGGTGTGTGTGACGTATACAACCCAAGGTACAGAGTGCAGAGGTCAGGTGTGTGTCGTATACAACAACCCAAGGTACAGAGTGCAGAGGTCGGGTGTGTGACGTATACAACCCAAGGTACAGAGTGCAGAGGTCGGGTGTGTGACGTATACAACCCAAGGTACAGAGTGCAGAGGTCGGGTGTGTGACGTATACAACCCAAGGTACAGGGTGCAGAGGTCGGGTGTGTGTCGTATACAACCCAAGGTACAGGGTGCAGAGGTCAGGTGTGTGTCGTATACAACCCAAGGTACAGGTGCAGAGGTCGGTGTGTGTGACGTATACAACCCAAGGTACAGGGTGCAGAGGTCGGGTGTGTGTCGTATACAACCCAAGGTACAGAGTGCAGAGGTCGGGTGTGTGTCGTATACAACCCAAGGTACAGGGTGCAGAGGTCAGGTGTGTGTCATATACAACCCAAGGTACAGAATGCAGAGGTCAGGTTTGTGTCCTATACAACCTAAGGTACAGAGTGCAGAGGTCGGGTGTGTGCGTGTGTCGTATACAACCCAAGGTACAGGGTGCAGAGGTCGGTGTGTGGTCCTATACAACCCAAGGTACAGGGTGCAGAGGTCGGGTGTGTGTCGTATACAACCCAAGGTACAGGTGCAGAGGTCGGGTGTGTGTCGTATACAACCCAAGGTACAGGGTGCAGAGGTCGGGTGTGTGTCGTATACAACCCAAGGTACAGGGTGCAGAGGTCGGGTGTGTGTCGTATACAACCCAAGGTACAGAGTGCAGAGGTCGGGTGTGTGACGTATACAACCCAAGGTACAGGGTGCAGAGGTCGGGTGTGTGTCGTATACAACCCAAGGTACAGGGTGCAGAGGTCGGGTGTGTGTCGTATACAACCCAAGGTACAGAGGGTAGAGGTCAGGTGTGTGTCGTATACAACCCAAGGTACAGAGTGCAGAGGTCAGGTGTGTGTCATACAGTCCAAGGTACAGAATGCAGTGGTCAGAAGCATATCTTTTACAGCCCAGCATAAAGTGTGTATATATTTTATAGAGTATCTCCCAGAAGTGAGTCTCACAACACTGAAGAAATGACACTTTGCTACAATGAGACGTAGTCAGTGTACAGCTTGTATAAACATGTAAATTTGCTGTCCCCTCAAAATAACTCAACACACAGCCATTAATGTCTAAACCGCTGGCAACAAAAGTGACTCCACCCCTAAGTGGCAAGGTCCAAATTGGGCCCGATTAGCCATTTCCCTCCCCGATGTCATGTGACTCGTTAGTGTTACAAGGTCTCAGGTGTGAATGGGGAGCAGGTGTGTTACATTTGGTGTTATCGCTCTCACTATCTCATACTGGTCACTGGAAGTTCAACATGACACCTCATGGCAAAGAACTCTCTGAGGATCTGAAAAAAAGAATTGTTGCTCTACATAAAGATGGCCTAGGCCAGGGGTCTGCAACCTTTAAGACATAAAGAGCCACTTGCACCCGTTTCCGAGAGGGAAAAAAAGACTGGGAGCCGCAAAACCATTGCAACATTTAAAACAAATCCGACACTGCATATATTGCAAAAAACGCTCTGGTCATGAAGGGGGTTTAAGGGCCCAGTAAGCAAAGGGTTAATCAGGGCCACAGTGTATCGTCATAATCACAATCATAGCCTTAGGTCAGTGGTGGGCAACCTTTTTTTTCGACTGAGCCAAATCTCGCCAAATCGATTGAAATTTATTTTGCCAAAACACGATTGAAAACTGAAAATACATCCCCCATATAGTAATTTTGAGAGAAACATTTTAGTAAAATCCCCCAAAAATACATCCCCCATATAGTAATTCATCCCCCATATAGTAATTCATCCCCCATAGTAATTCATCCCCCATATAGTAATTTCATCCCCCATAGTAATTCATCCCCCCTATAGTAATTCATCCCCCCTATAGTAATTCATTCCCCATATAGTAATTCATCCCCCATATAGTAATTCATCCCCCCTATAGTAATTCATCCCCCCTATAGTAATTCATCCCCCATATAGTAATTCATCCCTCATATAGTAATTCATCCCCCATAGTAATTCATCCCCCCTATAGTAATTCATCCCCCCTATAGTAATTCATCCCCCATAGTAATTCATCCCCCATAGTAATTCATCCCCCATATAGTAATTCATCCCCCATAGTAATTCATCCCCCCTATAGTAATTCATCCCCCATATAGTAATTCATCCCCCATAGTAATTCATCCCCCATAGTAATTCATCCCCCATATAGTAATTCATCCCCCATAGTAATTCATCCCCCATAGTAATTAATCTCCCATATAGTAATTCATCCCCCATAGTAATTCATCCCCCCTATAGTAATTCATCCCCCCTATAGTAATTCATCCCCCATATTGTGTGAATTCACTTACCTTTGCTCCGCGCGTTCCTCTCGCTGGGTTCCCGCGCCGTTCTGGTCTTCAGGGCGGACTGTGAGAGGAGAGGAGTTCGTCACGCTGCCCCGCCTACATCCGGGCTGCCCCGCCTACATCCTGACAGCCAATGTTTGCCAGCAGGCGCCCGGCACACAGAAGATCTGCATTAAAAGAGCCGCGGCTTGCCGACCCTATTGCCTGTCACCTGGTGGGCAGTGTGCTCCGGAGCTGCAGGAAAGGTGAAAAAGAGCCGCATGCGGCTCCGGAGCCGCAGGTTGCCGACACCCGGCCTAGGCTATAAGAAGATTGCTAAGACCCTGAAACTGAGCTGCAGCATGGTGGCCAAGACCATACAGCGGTTTAACAGGACAGGTTCCACTCAGAACAGGCCTCGCTATGGTGGACCAAAGAAGTTGAGTGCACGTGATCAGCGTCATA